CTAACATTCTCATTTTTGCCTATGGTCTTGTTGATCCTGATTTGTCTCAACCGGATGGTGACATATCATATCATCATACTCGGCGAGGTACCCGCATGATTCCACTTCAGTCGTATGGAAATCCACCTTCGGAGGATAAGTTTACCAGGCTTGATTCATTCGAGTTTCGCTTGAACAATGTCAGTTCTTTGCTAGTTCATCTAGATATATACATATATATATATATATATATTTCAGTATCGAGTTCCATCGGATGACACAACCTATCATTGCAAAGTATACAAAGTTCCAAGTCATTTTTCTACAAAGCGGCATGCTATCGCAGTACGTATTAAAGATGGGCAACTCTCGATTTGCCTTTATGGAGCGGAGCGAAATTGGAAAGAGAATTTTTAGCTTCGATCATTTGTCGTTTTTACTTTTATGTCTTTAATGATTTGCCTTTTTTATGATACTATGGTTAAGATTCCGACAAATAATGAACAAAAAGACGTTCGCTTGATCAAAGCTAAAGTTTTTTAAAAATTCTTCTTCTTCTCAGCACAAGATACTGATCGATTCGGCTAGTCGTGATCTTGTACATCATCTGCTGGTTTACGAATGTGACCCTGAGGCTACTTTCGACAATGCCAATATGCCTGATGGTCTGTGCGATGACATCTATGCCCAAATTCAACTGTGCACGACAAATATTGCCAGTATATGGGCTGTCGGTGGCGACGATGTATGTATCTTTATAGCCAAGAAAAATAACACAATAGAGAGAGAGTTTGAATAGATCGAAGAGTTCGCTGAAGAAGCTGGCTATCCTGTCGGCGGTGATTTTCCCGTGAAATATTATGTGATTGAAATGCACTATGACAATACAAAGCGAGCTTCGAGTAGGACGTTGTGTGTCAAATAAAAACAGTAACCGTTGTTACTTTCTTTTTAGATCGCACTGACAGCTCAGGCATTCGATTTTACATTAGCAATGAACTTCGTCAACATGATCTTGGCTATCTTTCATTCGGCACATATGCAAATCCTGCCGCCCTTGCCATCCCACCGCGAGTCGATAGATTTAACATCGACTCTTATTGTTCTCCTCGAGCCACTCAGGTATTTATCCAGTACAATAAGAATTTTTCATACATTTGTTCTTGGTTTTATAGCATTTTCCTGAATCCGGTATCACACTTCTGTCAGCCTTTCCTCACACTCACTTACAAGGCAAATAAATGATTTCAATATGACTTCAAGTCACTTTTCGACATTTAACTAAATAGGTCACAGTATATGGACGAAATTGATTCGAAATAATACAGCTGTTCAATATTTGTTCAACGTTGAAGCCTACAATTTCAATTATCAGTTTGAGAATGTTCTACAAAAACCAATCAAACTCTACCAAGTAGACGAAAAAAAATATTT